ACATATATACGGTTCGTATTATTATTATTATTATTTTCTGTCCCACGTCGCAGTTAACCGAATAGTGTTTCACGCAGTACCGCGACTGCCGTTCGACTTCTTCGAATTATTTATTAATATTATAATATATAGTGTGTTATGATATAATATGCGATTATGATAATATCACCGCGCGTGTCCGTGTATACATTTCGTCGGACGCATTGCAGTTCGCCGGCGATCATTTGGAAAAAAGCGTTAAGGCGATCGTCTTACAGACATATAATAATGTATGGAGTGTAAGTGCATTGCGATATTTTAATATAACAAACTATAAAGTGTAGGTATACTCGTGAAACGCATATAGGTACAACAATATTAATATAATCTCTACTTAAATTACCCACTGCACAATGGTATATTTATGTATAGGTACCTATTACCAGTATTACCAATATAATATATAAATAGTGTATATATACGCGCGATACGACGACGTATACCCGCGAAGAGAGCCCGCGGGTAGACCAAGAAACAACCAGCCGTTTAATTTATAGTACAAACAATATGATATTATTATGCATATACCTAGTTGAATATTATATTATAAACCTAGTAATATTATTAAGGAACGATGTAAATTGTGCGACAAATCGTGTTATTTGAGTATAATATTATACAATCCTTTCCCGGTGATATTCTTACGGGCATGACGTTAACCCGCGGTACCCACATATTATAATATAATAAAATGACACGAATAGGTGTAATACATTATGTATTACATATTTTTACACGATATTTGTCACTTTCGCGACGTATACAATAACCATTAACCACTATCAATTATTATTCAGAATACTCACTAAATTATCATCAGGCTTTCAGGCCCCACCTTCACCGCGAATTGAAGACAAAATAGCTTCGAGGTGTTTTGTTATGTGTGTGATGATTGTAATATAATTTTATAATTAATTATGCGGAATCAAAACATTACGCGATGATATATTAAATTAATTGCCCCCCCCCCCGCTCCAGGGTACACTCACACTGAGCGCTGCAGCACATTTGTTATTAAATTAATATATTATATTATACAGCCGCGCACACTTAAATCGACGGAAATGTTATTTATGGAGAGAATAAAAAAACCGTTGCTCGCAGCCGCGGTGACATCGTAATTTTCCGTACAGACGAACACGTCGTATATATTATCATTTTTTTTCCTCTTCAATTGCCGCGAGATAAGTGTTTTTTATGACCGGATCGCCGCCCGCTGCGCGCAAAACGTTGTTTTTTCTAATTTTTTACCCGATATCGGTAAAGTTGTGTGTTTTTACCCGTGTACACAACATAATAATATAATACACAATATATAACGCGAAACGCCATTATAATAATATATACTATCATATTATATACGACACGTTAACCCGCCATACCTGTACGCTCACACTCACACGCACGCGCGTATAGACTTTCACTGCGCGGTGTACAAAAGTTCGCAAGCGGAATTATATTATACAGGTTTGTTAGAATGCGAAGAGTCGCGACGGACGCGAAAAATATAAATAAATAAAACCAGTAAAAAATAAAATGCAACCGGCAACTAACGTTGTATATATACTATATAGGTACATAAATATATATAGGTATAATAGGTATATAGTATTAATGTATTATAGATAGGCTGCTGCAATACATCGTATAATATATATGACTTAGGTGTTGCGAGGAAGCGCGGGCTCCAGGTACATATAGCTATAAAATAATAATAATAATATGTGAGCCGCACGTGTAACTCGTCTGTTCGGTAGCCGTATAATATACAATAACGCAAATAAGGACCGATTGGTTAATGGTTTTTTACACTCCCGCGTGTACCTACTACCTACCTATAATATATATTATATTATGCATTATACACACTACACGTATGTATATAATATATAACACGCGCCAACGTCGTTTTCAATTGATCGGACGAAACGGCGTGTCTATAACCGCGCGGTTTATCTTTTCGGATTCGGTACGATCATATTTTTTCCTTTATCTCTCCGCCTCATCCATCGCGATCGTCGTCGTCGCCGTCGCGGCCTAGTCGAAGTCGTCGTTATAGGCCACGTTGATTTATCACTTCGCAATACGTCATTGTCATTCGCTGGAAATTACTGTACCTACCTATCATTTATATATGTACAGGTACCTACAGACAAACGTTATATACCAAACGCGGTATTGTATATATATATATATATATAGGTGCGGCGGTAGGTCCGTGCGCCGATCGGTCAACGACTAACCTGCAGTGGTGTGGTCGCCCCCTCCCCCACAACATCCATTGGATCTAGGAAATGTGATTTCGTATATTAATTATTGATATATCGAAAATGGTTGGGAACGATGACCAAAATAATTTTAGGTATCTATACACGTATTTTGTAGTTTCAGTTATTCTGTTATTTCATGTTATCAAATCCCTATTAAACACGAGAAACATTTGTTTTTTTTATAGGTTATAGGTATACTTAAATATCACTTATTGATTTTCACAAATCTAGTGTACCACTGGTATTAGGTTATACCAAACATTATTTATTATTTAAAAGAAAACGTCCCTTAAACATGTGTGTTTTATTTTAACTACGTCTGGAGACTTCAGGTTCTATTTATTCATTCATCATTGTGTAATATAACAGCCAATAGGTACCTACCCAATTATATTCCGTTGATTCTTACTATGTAAGCCGAATGTTAATGTCGCAAATTGTTCATAGTCTCGAACTCAATATTGAAATCCCTTTAAAATAATTAAGATTTCAATAAAACTTAAAGTAATCTGAACATTTTTCCCATAACATAACGATAATTTAGTATACAAACACAAACCTATGTATTGACGTGGCATAAAATTAATAATTATATAATATTCATGACTCAACATTTGAAGTCCCGTTAGCTCGTAGCACACATTTTGAAATGCCACTATGCCCATGACAATATTATTATAATCATTAGGCGGACGGGGAATATTTGGAGCGATTTTTTTTATTTGTTCACAATAAGTCATAACTGTGTTAAGCTTAAATTTTAAGATACGTAGTGCAAAGTTTCAAATCATGTGTCTACTATATATTTTAATTTTGAGTAATCACCCATTTCAAGTACATTTTTGTACAATTTTAATGTAATTTATGTTATTATTTTCAAATACTTTTTACTCGCTCTATAATTGTTTATTGAACAAATATTATTATACCAGTGATCATACATTATTTGTGTGAATTCATTGTAAACTGTTTTTAAACTTTGATTCTTAGTAGCTGTAAACTTTTAGTTTGGAATTTTAAATATTTTTATATGGTTTCATACCTAGTATCTACTGCATTATTTATTTTTCACACGGCCCTCGTTATAATACTTTAAAGGATATTATCTATAATGTTCATAATTTAAACACTAAACAAGTATTTAATCAAAGTGCAGAGTAATAATTAAAAATATCCACCTTGTTAAACATTTTCCTATCAACATTTAAAAAAAAAAAAGTCTTCTTTAGAAAACTAATTCTTTACTCCTCTCTTAAAAATAATTCTTCCAAAAATCTTTAAAATAGTGCCACAATCAATATATTTCAAAAACTATACACCCATCCAACCTATGATACTGATCCCTATTTGCCCAAGAATTACTTATTGTACAATGCAACTTCGCCTACTTAACATTGACAAAACTATATAATATTATGTACCTATATATACGATAACTTCCACATTTAATATTACTTTAAAGTTGAAACATACTTGAAATAATAAAACCAACACTAAAACCTAATATTCGACCTAATTGCGGATGTTAATTGATACGACGCCTCCTGTACCAAAACCTAACGGGGTTTGGAACCTGTTATATTTAGATAATTTAGTGAGGGCTTTCAGAGCACTTTGAATTATATTTTAACCGTACGCGGGAGCGTCAGGACAGATAGGTTAAATACTAAGTTCTAGTTTATACATTTTTATTAATACCTACATTATACTTTTGAAATACAAAATATCTATAGACCCACTATAACAGTATATTAAATGGTCTTTCGGAGTTCATTGGCTTGTGGCTTACTATACTGGTCCTGGAACTATCGAACTAACATGTTGTGTGCCTTATATATGCTGCAAATTGTATGTATATTTGAGTGAGAGGATGACTATAATTTGTCTATGATCCTTCTTCCTTATTATAAATACTTATATTTAAACTGCCTATTTCACAGTATATGTAACGTTGCCACACATATGTGATCCGCCGCAATATCATTAAGCTAAGATAGAATTAACCGCGGTAAAGCTTTAAACAATAAAACTTTTTATTAATATAATTCATTGTTATTTATAAGTAGGTTACTAACACGTATTTACTATATTTTGGAGGTGTTTATACGGAAATCAGAGAGACCCTCTCTCAATCTCATCCTGGGTATGACCCTGTGTGCGGTGTAGGTAATACTATGGTTGGTTGTACGTCTGAAAATGATAGCCATAACATAATATTAAATTTAGTTCACGTCGACGTTACAGACACACGAGGGCTTCACGGGGACGGAGAAGACGATGATGACGACGACGACCCCGGGGACGTTTCCTCGGTCGTATTAATATTATACCTCAGCAGTCCTCCTCCTCGTTCCGTCGGATAGGCTATTAAGATTTGTGTGGCGATTAAAACGTTATGGGCGTTGATTTCATATAGCACGTAGGACGAGAAGAAGAAAATACATTTTTTGTTTTTCAAATATTAAATTATTATTCTACTCTCCGCGCCCGTATATACGCGTATATTATACGGCGCTCGTAGGCATTCGATGTGTTCGAAATCACCTGCTCTCCCGCTGTGTCCATTTGCAACGATAGGTACCTATAATAATAATATCATATAACGGAATTCTTGGGTTTGTTTGTACATTATTATTAGTATTTTTCATTGATATCGTCTATAATAATATTATCGTTCATTCGTTCCCGCAGGAGGATCTCCTCATACACGGCGACAGCGTGTACGACATGATCGACAAACAAGACCATCAGGCCGTTCAAACTGAACTGTCCAGGAGTCAAACATCCGCCGAAGACCAAGGATGCAAGCGCATGTTCTTGTGCCGGATGAACGTTTCCAGAAACGCCAGGAGGCAAATGCGATTCGGCGATCAAAAGGTAATAAAAACAATATCTTATGTTATTATAATATTGTAATAACATAATTATATGACGTGTACCCACAATTTTTTTTATTATTTATTATTCGTATGTGTTTACGTTATAATATTCGTCTTATCAGAATAATACTATATTGCTCGATTCGTAAAATTTTAAATATTTATAATATAATCATTAATCGATAATAATAACTATATCAAAGTACACTAGACATTTTCTTTTGATACACCGTCTGTTCGTCGTCAAATAATACATTATTCTATCATCATACGTCTTGATAACACGAACGTTTAAATTATTGTCGAGGGTTAATTCGATAGAAGTATCTATACCTATGCGTTCATGATAATCGGAGAGTCAAAACGGGCACGCGACCGGGTTTAAGTATATAGAGTTGAAAAAAAAATGTTGAAAACTGGTTTGAACACTGTTTGAACCTACTCGAAAAAATGAACCAGTTTCGACTCGCGCCGATTTAAACGCAATTTCTAATATTCCGAAAACAAAAATTAACACTTTGACCCCTCGTCGCGTAGCGACGTAACCATTATATATTATAGGTAACCATATCATACACGTTGTGCAATGCTGTACCGTAGAGTAATTATAATCGTTTGTTCGCCAGGTGGTTTTAGTGCAGGGTCACTACCTCTCCTATCTGCCGTTGTGCAGCAGAAATGAACCAGTTTTCCTAGCCACTTGCAGCCCGGTGGCGATGCCCGAGACCAGGGAGGCCGTGGTCCAGGGTTCCACCACGGTGTTCACAGCCATCCACTCGATGGACATGAAGTTCATACACGTAGACAAAATGTATGTTAACACTTAAACACCATTAAGGGGGGCATTGTTTCGATTCGCCGCGCCGCCGTCGCTCATAATACTATTATCGTCGTTCGCGGCACGTGATCAACGACAACCGGTGGCCGAGGCACATGTTATGCATTCGAAACGAGACAAACTGTATAGTTACGCGATTTTCGTTTTTAATCGATTTACCTTATAAACAGCGTCGCGTCGTCGTTGTTTTAGAGTTTATATTCCCAGCCCAGGTATAAAATGTTATTATTTATAAAAGCGTCGTTGCTGTTGCTGCTGGTGGTGCGGTGTACCAGCTTGAGCTGTATTGGAATAACATGCTCTGAATTATTCATGCACATAATAATAATAATAATAATAATATATTAAAAAATTACGTTTCCATATTTCGTACCTATAACTCCGGTTTCGGGGGCGCCAATTAAAACGTTCACGGTTCGGGCAACAAATCATCACCATCGCTATTATAGTGTACAGGTAGGTAGGTACTATTCTCGCGCTCGTGCATTTCACCAATTATCTCGTTAAATAACAATTATCGAAAATACAACGGACACAACAGTCCGCGCACGGGAACAAATGAAGTACCGAAATATATATCATTGGACGTCGTCGTAGTCGGCCGACCGGTTGTCGGGTGATAGAAGTATACCTATATACCTCTATATAGAAGAAAATAATAATAATAAAGAAACTAGTACGTATTTATTGCCTCCGCATCGGGTGTATGTCATATTAAAACTGGGAACGGCGAAACGGGTGATTAATAACAGTTTTGTATACCTGTTGTGTTGCGCGGCTCGGAATTGGTGCAGCGGGCGAACGATTTGTCGGGTGTCCCCGTCGCGTGGGCGAGGTCGGCCGATGAATAAACTTGCCTATAGCAGTCGGCAATACAAGCTTTCGTCGCGCGTACACGCCATTATATTACATTATTATTATAATATATACACAGTATTATTACGTATATACGTATACATATATATGTATATGTTATAAGACTCGTACTCGCCATTAATCACGCAAAACCCAACTACACCGGATAATACGATCTGTCCTCTCGGAAATAATAATAATAATAAGTATTATAATATACTAGGTATGTACACTCTTTGTCGCGATACATTACGCGCGTATACACGGTAATATTATATATTCTGTCGCAATTAAACAAGTACGGTCGGCGGGTCGTTTGTCGCAGTCGTCGTCGTTGTATCCGCTCAACGAGAGGCCTACGCCTCGAATCGATCGATATAATATAAGTATACAAGTCCACGTCTTTCCGATAACTCAGAATCGATGATTTCCGCGTCTCAAAGAAACGCCGCGCAAACTCGCCGTTTTTATACCTACCAGCAGTGTATATACTACGCGATTCGTTCCATTCACACGTCATCGGCGTTAGCCTCTGTAGGCCGTTCGATACTGTTGTATTTACCGTGGGCTCGGAAAAGCGAATGAATTGCTAAGATCGTCTCGTCGTTTGTCACTTGCAGATCGCGGTTGTCGCCATACGCACGTCTTGTCCATGTATACAGAGTGTTTCAGCACGGCATGACGTGTGTCCGTCCCGGTGAATTGCAACTGTTTTTCCATCATCAAATTACAATATCGTGTTTTGAATATTGATCCACCAAAGTTCCACTAACTATATTATACGATACATCTATCGAGTGGATTCATAATTCGAACTTGAAACACTAAAACTGTCGTGCTCGATTACTTGGGCTCGGAATATGCATGAATTCGCATGATCGTGTCTTCGTTTATAAATCAAGGTCCGTGGTCGTCGACGTTATTTTCCTATGAGGGAGGGTTAAGACCCCTACCCCCATGCTCGTGTACAAAATATAATACTACATGTAGGTACCTGAAAGTGGCGCGTGCTCGAGTAAATAAAAATTATTATATTTTGAATTATTATTGTCTACTCGTATACCTACTCGTATAATATGCGATATTGTGTTACGTTACGACAACGCGTCGAACCGTGCCGCGAGCCAGTGACCGTTGCCAATTAGTCGCGGGGTGTTGTGCGTCGGAGGTACCTATAACATGTACATAATATACAACGTAGTCGTTGCGCTGCCGTTACAGTTGTTTTAATATTAATGTATGGCATAATAATATCGCTCGAGAATTAATCTCATTCGAACGGGCCCAGCCAATAATGAATGAATTACGGGGACCAGAACGAGATATAGCCTGTGTGTTGTGCCTCGTTCGCCCGTCGCAGTCGACACGTACCGCAAGCGTTACATATTATTGTTATTATTACGGATGTACTGCTGTGGACCACGGGAAGGGGTTATAATATGTTACTATATTATACTCACACTGCAGGCCATGTTATTTTTTTCTGACCACGTGGATGTATACCTAATATTACCGAACTGCGTTTTCGATTGTTGCGAAACGTCCGGAGCCGAACACCCCCTCCGCCCACGCCTCGCGAGAGCCGACGAAAAGAAATTACACTAGAATCAGATACACACGACTTTCTCGGCGCGGATCGGGTTATGATTTGTAACGGCGGCGGTGAGAATATTATACATAATAATAATATAATATGATCTAAAAACAAATCTCGCTATCGATCACACAAGCTCGCGCGCGCTCGCGACGCCTACAAATTCTTGTTCTTGTAACGATATTGAAGCAGCAGTATTATAAGTGTACCTATCTATATATAATATTATATATATATATAAATGTCTAAGTGCCTGTGTAGGTACATCGCTATACCGGCTACGGCCACCTCAAGCGCGGGGGAGGAGTAGGAGGAATAAGGACGCGTCTTCGAAATTCAATCCAAATCGTAATCGAAAACCATATTCCCGATGGCGAGTACACATTACTGTAGTATTACATATATGTATATTATATATTGTTGTGCCTTGTGCGGTATTAAAGCTGAATTCCTAAACATTAGATTACGCTCGAAATCATTGCAGCCGACAATATTTATAATAATATTACTATAATACAGTCGGACGGTTATTCGTCGCGGCGTATGTGCCGTACTACGTTGTACGTACTTACAATTTAATAATGATTTGTGCAGCATAATATTATTGTGTATCTAATAATAATAATGGACTATATTGTATGTATTATTTAATATTTTCCCTTGAGCGAAAAAATCGATAAAACCGAGTTCCGAATGCATCGGTTTTTCAGCACGGCGCGACGCCGGAAAAAATATTATGTTTTCATATTATTGATTACCTACCGATATTATTTTCTTTCCAGAGGAGAATTTCATTTGGGGTTTTCTCGTTCGGAGCTGCAGGGCGTCTCCTGGTACCAATTGTTGCACTGGGAGTGCATGCGCGAGGCTCAGAGCAAACACAGGCTGAGTGAGTATATTATAAACATTATGTGCCTACACGTCGTTTTAATATCACTTATGTACATATTATAATTTATACACACATACATTATATATACTGTACACAAATACACACAGCCAGAGGCGGCCGCCCCGAATCCAAAAGTGATATGTATTATAATATGTGAATAAAAAAAATTGTTTTCGCCCACCCGTGATATATGTCCGCGCCGTGTATACACATTTATCCATATATACACATATAATGTATATATTACGGTTGTTTAAGAGAAAAGAAAAAGACTGTAGTATGTATAACTTGTGTGTATATATATATAACATTATATATTTTGAAATACGAGTAATAACAATAATTATTGTCGGTTGTATATATATATACAGTTACACAATCAGAACAGGATCGTTCTTGCATACTGCTGGCCAGGGTACAGAAGAGGGCCACAGGGGACTGGCTTTGGATACACTGCGTGTTACAGGTCAAAGACAACATGGAAAACAGCCAACAGCCAGTCATCGTCAGCACAAATCAAGTACTTACGTAAGTAGAATAATATGTCGACGTTATTTATTTGTTGTTATTATTTTATTATTATTATTATTATTATTGTTGTTCTGTCATTATTATTTCTATGCTATTGAAGTGGTGCCTCCTGTAAACAAGCGTTTTTTCTTTGTTACCTATTAATATTTTTTTTATAAGATCAAATATTTTACACTAGGTATACATATGTTATCCGTTGTGCGTATTATTGTTGGCACGGCGTTTGTCGAGGGGGGGAAAAAATCTTATATAATTTTTAAACGCGGAAAACTGATTACTTGAACTATAAATTATAATAGATAATGTATACAAGGGGATTCCCCAAGCATGCTCACCCCCATTGTTTCATTTAATAATGAATTTATTCGAAATTATTAATTAATGTTTTCGGAATTTTTGAATATACTACTTCAACATGTTTTAAAATTCTCGAGATATTTTGTACTACTTAAGTCCTGGGGCGAAACAAACTTGTGTTTTTAAAAAAAAAGAGAACCTATCTTTTTTAGTGTAAATTATTTAGTAGGTTTTTTAATGTTGATGTATCTAATAAAAAAATTAAACTAGAAGTTTTTAGTTATGTTTTTAGTCATTAAAATGTTTATACTAAGGATGAAAGTCCTTAAAAATGGTTTTACAAAAATATAAAATAAATGTAATATTGTATTTAGGCATATATAGTGTTTTATTATTCTTGGTCCATTTTTACAAATTATAGATGGTTGGTCTATTCTTACAAATTGTAAATGGTGATTGATTAATATTAATTACTAATATATTCCAATTACCATAGCCCCCATATCTTTAATCTTCCAACCTAAGAATATGTTCCATACATCATCTCGGACCCACTTTACTATTAAAAGGTATTCAATAAGTTAAATAACTCAAACACTATTCGTTCGAATTTTGATTTTGATATGTCAAAAAAAAAAATATGATCTGCTAAATAATTTTTAAATTGAAAATGTGGATTCTCATTTGAAAAAAAGAATCTTCAATTTTATAACTCCAAAAAAATAGAACAAATAAATCCTAAAAATTAAAAATACTGAATTTAAGTAGGTATATAAAAATTCCGAAAATCAGATTTCGAATAACTGTATTATTGAAGAGAAAAAGGTGTGATCATGCTTGGTGAATCACCCTGTATATTTAGGACTCGACGAGTGTTATTGTAATCTTTTAATAAACGTAGGTGCATGCGTATGTAATATATATATATATATATATATAATGTATATACATTATAATTTGTCATAAAACGTTTATTATAACACGCTGTCTTTAACGATTCATCCGATAAGACTCGGGGGCGGATTAAATTTGAATTTTATTCGATTTTGTATGATATAATATTATGGTAACTATAGTCTATAATTATGTGTCTAGAACTGTCAGTCTTGTATATAGGGCGTGAATAATCGCACAAATATCATACCTAATTATTTCTCTAAAAATTGAATTTACTTACGTCCAAACGGCCGTAAAACATTTCATCAGTTCCGTTTCAACATTAGAATGTATTGTTCAATACTAGTATTTTATTAAAACCGGAATGAATATTACACAGACAACTTACAGACCTAATATTATTTTATTGTAATCGCATGTATATTCGACAAAGAGAAATCAAGAACCATTTTACCAATGCTATTGCTGCGGACGCATTTATCAAGTATATAGATACCTATATGAATATATTATGATAACAGTATACTTAAAATACAATAATAATGTCCTAGAACGTATTATAAAAAGTATATATTAAATATAGGTACCGATCAATATTGATTTTTTTGGTCAGATCATTATTTACTATAGGTAGGAATGTATTGTATAGTTAACATTTTTCTAAGAAATTTTGAATTCCAATTATTACTGAATGGAGAACTCTGAAATTACATCGACGTAACATAAATTAGGTAGAAAACTGGACGAAAAAATAACGTCATGTATCTTCCACGTTTCCTAACCATCGCGTGAATGTTGTAAACACCTCCGTTGCATCGCCGTGTGAATCAGTATACCTATATTATATTACAATATATATTATTGAATAGACTATTATATTATAATTGCCGTTGTACCATATAATATATTTTAAATTGTATGTATGTATATATTGTATACACACATACAGCATGTACGAGGTATTATTATAGATTTATTCGCGGGACGAGATTTCAAACGCGTCCAAACACGTTTCGTCGTATATGATATATATATGTATATGAGGTATACATACGAATGCAATTTTCCCGTCGCAAAGTTTACATTTTATAGTAGTATATAATATAATATAGGCGTATTACACGCGCATGTCGTCTGAAAGCCGCTGTATGCCGAGTACACGGTGCTGTACATATTATTATATCTATAAACGAACTGCGACCGCGGCATAAAAATATAATAGTATTACCCCTGATGGACGAACGGACGGGCGGACGAGGCCATTAGGATCGACCGCGGCGGCGGCAGTGGAGACGCTAAACCATTTTTTTTGCACTCGACAACAATATTTATACTGTGCGGTTCGTGTTAGGAGTGAGTATATAGGTACATAGCGCGTAGGTACGTGCAGCTTTATAAAATAAATGACAACGCGTTATATTATAATAACGACCGTCCAGAGCGTTTGGCAGAGCGCATATACAAGCGATTCCGGAAAATTTATTGAAACATGTAAATACTTTTAGAAAAAAAAACGATCGTGTCCCCGCGCGCGCGAAACCCGAGTGGCGTTTAAAACACGTGTCAAGACGCGTCGCGCTCAGTATACTTATTATACGATTCGATATGAGTTTATCGGTATTGATTTGCGGTTTGCGGAGAGAAAAAAATACATATATATGCGTCCAGCGCGTTTTATGACGTGAAAAATAAAAACCGTAACGCGTGCAACAGAATAATAATAATAATAACGTTTATACAATAATAGACTGGCGACAGAGCTATGGAGCGAGAGAGGGTGAGTGAACGAGAAAAATAAAACCTGTAGACTTTAATGGTAGGTAATAAAGTTAACGAGTCGCCGCGGAGGAGCGGTCGTCGTTTCTACCTAAACATTTATATAATATAATATATTATTTATTATTACACGTACAATGCTGGTGACAAATTACAGGCACTAATAACTACCTATGCGCCGCCATTCATACGGAAGCGAGTCGAAATTACCATCATCGCGGTTATCGGTAGTCATAAGTTATAACTATAATAACTGTAACCATTGTTGTCGCGCCGAAACGTATATAGACTTCCGAGGGCGCACGGTTACATATATATATACATACAATACAAGTCAGAGGAAAACGTACAGTCATTTCCGAAATGTCAAATAAAGAACCCACGTGAATACCGACCGAACATCGTGTTAACATGATCTATGTTTTTACGAGACACTCAATGCCGTCGCTGAAGATGACGTTTCGATAAATATGATGTATTATATTATTATGCATAAATAATATAGTTTTTTATGATTCTTATATTTTTAGACAAATTATTTAATCAGCGCGTACACGCATCGTGCATAAGAGGTTCATGTAGAAATGTCGAGGTGTCTATTATAATACTCTACTACGGGTTATCGTTTTAAACAGTTTAATTATTCTTATCAAGTTTTTCTTTACATAAATATAAAAGTAACGATTTAATACTACTATAGAAGGCCAGGAAAAACATATTACATATACCTATATGGAATTATTAGAGTCTCTCCTAAAACCTGCATGTGTTCGTATTATTAATGTCAAGTCGTCAAGGGGATTTATATTGACGTCTTGTCGTTTGTGAAAATAGGATTGGCTCAATTCCTTTAATCTCAACTAATCGATCAAATTAAACCATGTGCATTTAAATATAAATACCACACATTTTGATATTAAATTTATACATATACAATATACATACATTGTAAATAGTGCAATACTCAGTTTGATTTTCACATATATGAATAAATGATATTATTGTTATATTATAGTAAGTCTGATATGTTGCTAATTATTATGTAAACATAATTATTTCTTAATGTGCAAACAGTAAGACAGGTTAAATGTATATTTACCCAGATAAATAGAAAATGTTTTAATGTTTTAATGTGTATATATAATACACATCACTAAATCACAAATTCCAAATAAAAATATGTTAATAAAGTTCTGGGAACTTGGGTAAAATTGTTACGAAAAAGAATTATATCATTTTTGAAAACATGTCTTGGCACTTAGAAATTCTTGAAAATAAAAACAGCAATTTTCAATTAGTATAGTGTATACGTACAGCCATTAAAGATTTGCAATAACATAATTAAAATATAATGCCTTTAATAAATCTCGGTTTATATCAAAGCGGCTAGTTCTCGATATAGATTTAATGCAAAATTGTGTTTAGAGAAATAGAAAGTAACTACCTACTTATATTTAATTAAAAACATATTTTACGATCAAAATTAAATAAGATATATAATGTATAATTTGTAATTATTTCACGTGGCAATAATAATAATAAAATAAATCATTTCTTTAACGAGAATAGATAGACATATTATAAATTATCATATTACGTAATATAAAACCTAATTAAATCAGTTTAGTACTTAGTATTTACCCATTTTCTTTTCAATAGTGTAATGTTGTGTAATATGGTTCAAATGATAAAAATGTGTATGAAATTATTTTTAGATAACCGGCCGATATGCTGTATTGATATCAATATTCACGAGCCGCATGACTCATGACCGTATATCAGCCGAATGAGAACACGTTGATATACTATATTATAAGCGCATGTATTAAATATTATAGTATAACGTAGATACACATACGATATGCGTATAGCGACTTGTTTGGAGTATATAAAATATTGTGAAATTTAATGATCTGAAAGCCGTTCGTATAAGTTTATAAGTTATAACATATATATAGGTATATAATATTATTATAGGTAAGTTTATATATGTATAGTTATACCTGCTCCAGAATCAGAGACGACAC